TACAATGAAGAAAGGCTAGAAGGTGGAGCAAGGAGGATAAACTTCTTTTTTTTTTTTTTTTTTTTTTTTTTTTTTTTGGTTTTTCGAGACACTCTGTGGTTTTGGAGCCTGTCCTGGAACTAGCTCTTGTAGACCAGGCTGGTCTCGAACTCACAGAGATCCGCCTGCCTCTGCCTCCCGAGTGCTGGGATTAAAGGCATGCGCCACCAAGGCCCGGCCGAGGATAAACTTCTTAAAGGGATTATTCTGACTGCATGGACGGGATTAGACCCAGCTAGCATGGAATATGAAAAGCAATGCCTTTTCAGTGTGTCAGTTAATTTCAAGAGGCTTTGGAAGCCGGGTGATTGGAAAATAAAATGAGTTATCACATTGAGTCTGTCTAACTCTAATTAAACATCAAACATGAAGGAAATTATGAATTATGTGTCAACTCCCTGTCCAGACTGTTCTTGTTGATCTTGTTTCATTGAACACTAGTATTTTAAATTTATATTTAGGATGCACAACATTCTCTATAGCCGTAAAAACAAAGATACACATTGCATGTATAAAACCCTAGGTTCTATCCCCAATACTACAAAAAAAAAAAAAAAGAAAGGAAAAAAGGGGGGCAATGACTTTACACAAAATCAAATAAGAAAGAGCAGTGAGAGGAGAAAGGAATGGTGGCACAAGCCTTTAACCCCAGCACTCTGAAAGGAGAGGCAAGCAGTTCTCCAGGAATTCCAGGCCAGCCTGGTGGACACAGTGAGTTTCAGATCAACCAGAACTACAAAGTGAGACCTGTTCCCCCAAAATAAAATAAACAGCAGAATTGAGGCAGATTGATTCTCAGCTTCCTGAGGAACCTCCACACTTAATTCTATAAGTTTGCACTCCCACCAGAATGAATAATCCATTCCTGTCAGCATGTGTTGTCATTTTACTGATCTTGGCTATTCAGGTTGAGTTAAGATGAAATATCCAAGTAGTTTTAATTTGCATTTTCTTATGAAGATATGTTTTCGTTCTTCTACGTGCAGCCATCCGGTCTAACCAGCACCATGGTTAAAGATACTTTCTTTTCTCCGGTGTGTATTTCTGGCTTCATTATCTAAGTTCAGGAGTTCACATGGGTGTGAAATTATGTCTGGATAATCAATTCTATTCTTCTGAGTAATATGTCTGCATTTATAACAATATCATGTTGTTATTATTACTAAATTTGTAAAATAACTTGGAATCAGGAATGGTGCTACCTCCTTGCATATATCCAAAAAACTCTACATCTTACTAAAAAGATACTTGCTTATTCATGTTCATTGCTGCTCTATACATAATACCCTGAAATTGTAAGCAGCCTAGGTATCAATAAACTATTGGAATGCATAATGAAAATGTGTTACATTTATACAATAAATAGTATTCAGTTGTTAACAATAAAATATAGTGCTATGAAGAAATAAAGGGGAAGGAAGAATAGGAAGACCAAATTGGTAGGGAAATGGAAGGGCACAGTAAAAGAGGGACTATGGGGAAGAGCACTGAAGGCCTTTTGAAAAACCATATAGAATCCTACTTTAGAAGTTTCCTAAAAAATATACACCTATGAAAGTAATCTAAATGGAATCATCATATAGTAGAGGAGACAACACCCCAACTACATATCGGATGCCACAAATTCCCATTGCTGGGAATCGGTTACATCTTTTTGAGTCAATAACCAAATGGGCCCCATAGACATGCCTGCAAAACATCACAGACTGGGGCAGGAGAGATGGCTCAGTGGTTAAGAGCATTCACTGACTGCTCTTAGGAGGAACTATGTTGTATTTCCAGCATCCACATGGCAGCTCACAACTGTCTGTGACTCCAAGACACAGACTCACACAGACATACATGCAGGCAAAACACCAATGTACATAAAATAAAAATAAATTATTTAAAAAAAAAATCACAGGTTTTTGCCAAAGCTATTGGTTACTCATCAGCTACTTCTGTTATCAAACTCGGAAAAATTGATCTGGTATCTAAACAGAAGCTTTACCCCTACTGCCTAGGATTCATGGTGCTGAAAGGTACTTTGCATGCTGCCAGAGAAGAAAAGTAATCATCAATATCACCCATTTACAAACCCTGTAACCTACAACAGTAACCTGACTGCAAGGTAGACTAGTGTTACTGGAGTAACCAACCACTCCATGAGGTGGAACCCATAAATGACATGGCTTAAGTGGTCAAACACTTGAAGTAAGTCATGGACATGGGAGAAAATGTACTACTGTTTTTCTGCTAAAGGAACATTGCATAAAATGACTGCTAATGACATATCACTATACCCACAGATACCTCACTGAACCCTCATCAGAAAAGGTTCTTGCAGAAGACAGTCATTAACCCAGAGACCTACAACTGGGCAGTGTGCAAAGAATCAAAGACTTCGGAGCACTCAGGATAAATGGAATATCTTCACCAAACTCCTCCATCCCCAAGTTTCAAGAATCTATACGAAGAGGAGGTAGAAAGAGTCAAAGCCAGTGAATTGCCCAAGGAAACAGCATCTTCCAGGCACAACAGGAATGACAGACACATGTGAACTCATAGACACTGTGGCACCACACACAAGTCTGTATAGGTTCAAGCTAGATGAGGTCTCCCCCCAACACACACTGAGAAGAATAAGTGGACACAGACTCCCAGCCCTAAGCAAGAAGCTATTTGCAAAGGGAAATCAAAGTCAGTTTTCTCCAGGGCAGGCCTCAGGCCCAGAAGTAGTTGGCCACAATAAAAAAGGACCCCCCTCTTCTCTCTGTCTCTGTCTCTGTCTGTCTCCCTCCCTCCCTCCCTCCCTTGGCACCCCTCTGTGTGTGTATACATTTTTTGTTTGAGTCGTGAATTTTTGGACTTACTGTTTTTTGTTTTGATTTTTGGTTGGTTGGTTGGTTGGTTTGGGGGCATGGAAAGAGAGACAAAACACAAAGTATGTAGAGAGGTGGAGAGGATCTGGAAGGAGTTGGTGCAGGGAAAAACATAACCAAAATATATTTATGAAAAATTTTAAATAAAAATAAATAAGAAATGGTACTTATAGGAGGACTAAACATTAATATATAAGAAAAGAAAATCTTTAAAGACCTTCATTACATATTGAACTTAATGGCAGTACAAAATTTTATCATTTAATTTTTAATAAATAATAATAAGTAAATATTAAAGGCATAACTGCAAGCAGTAAGAAATACTGTTAAGACAAAGGATTTAGAAGGTAGATTGGAGGAGTGCGTGACTTCAGCGCCTTGCTTTGAAGTCAAATGCTGGTAACCCCTACCAGGAAGTAGTTGACAGAAGGTTCCTGAATTCAAGGTCACCCACCAACCCAGGTGGGCTAAGAGAGACAGCCTTTCCCAAGACAAAGGGAAAGGACACAGGGGCTAAGGTAGTAATTAAGTACATTTTCTAGTAAAACAATGCAGTCCTGAGTTATATTTTGTTGTATCACCGATTCTGTGGAGAGCTGTAAACATTAGGGTGTAAACTCGTAATGCTAAGATGGGAAGGGCCTAAAATTCCTGAACAACGTGGCTGTACTTAACAAAACAAGGTATGGAAGGTTACTAGGTCAACAAGCTTCAGGAAAACTTGAGTAACCACGCTACTTAGTTTTAAAAAAAAGTCGAACTTTTTTCTCTTTTCTTTTTCTCCAGTCTTAGAAATTGAACCTAAGGTCTTCGAATACTAAGCATTCACCCTATCATTTGAACTATATCCCAGCCTGGGACCGTAAATTTTTTTTTTTTTTTTTTTTTTTTGGTTTTTCGAGACAGGGTTTCTCTGACCGTAAATTTTTTAGAGAGTAAATAGTCAGTAGCAGTGCAGAAATGTGAATGTGAACACCAAGAATCCCTGCACTGGAGAGACAGAGGCAGGTAGATCTTCTTGAGCTCCAGGCCAGGTACCATGAATTCAGGTCGGAAAGGACTACGAATAGTAAGACCCTGACTACAAAGGCAAAAAAATAAATTTTTTTTCAGCCACTAATTTTTAAGCACTACGCTCTCAATTAGCATAGTAATCACGTTGTCATAGAAACCGTGGCTCCCCCCCCCCCCCCCCCCCCCGCCGCCCTTAAGTGCAAAATTCAAGTGGGTGAAATAGGGCAAAGATTGGTGCCAACCTAAGCAGACCGAGCCTATCAGAAGCTTCTCCCGGGAACGGACCGCAAGTCTAACTCAAGCTTTCTAAGCAGTGCTGGGTAAATTACCAAGTGTGAATGACTGTATTGAGTGAAGGAAAAAAAAAAAAAAGTTTGCCAAGTCTTCTTTAGGAACACCTAAGCAAAGGCCGTGCGAGCGAGGCTGCTGGGCTCAGCACACCGACGGCAGCCTCCTGGGTTCACGACGAAAGCAGCCGAACTGAGCGGAGCTGCTCCCACTGCTGAGCAGAGAGAACAGCAGGTTCCAGCCCGGGCTAGCCCGCCTGCCTTCTCCGTGCCATTCCCACCGCACACCACGTCCTGTGCCTGGCAGTTCACACGCCACATCGTACCGCATCTATTAAGCGCCCACTGTTTACCCCGCATCCTGGCTCCTCCAGGAACTGCACAAGAAATGGTCTCAAGAAGGAGGCCAGAAAAACGCATAAGGTCATCTGCCAGGGCCAAGCACAAACCCGAGGGGGGAGGGGGGGCTACCTGCTACCTCGCGGGTCCGAGCAGAGCGACCCACGGGAGGCCCGGAGGGGCCCAGGCCAGGCCTGCCCGGCGTCTGCCGCAGACGGGTCGGTCGGCGCTGCAGACCACCCAGGCGCGGCAGTCCGAAGCAGCGCCGCCTCGGTTCGGCTCCCGGGAGGCCGGCGAGCGAGTTCCCGAACCCGGGGGCCCAGAAGGGGCTGTCACGGCCGCCTCCTCCCTCCCAGCTGACGGCCGTGCACGGCGGAGCGCCCAGGCCTGTGCCGCTGCCCTGCCGAGGCTGGCCGAGGCCGCCACTCTTTCCGCTCCGGGCGGAGCGAGAAGCGGTTACCTGCGCCGCGGGCGGAGGCCCGGACACCACCCGGCAGAAGAGAGGAAAGTGCGGCCTCCCCCGAGGCTTTTGGGATCTTTGGAAGACTTGTTCCGCACTGGGTGACAGCTGTTCGCTGCGCACGCGCACGGGGCGCCACCGCGGAATCCCTCCGCCGCTCCCCGCCCTCCCGGCTCCGGGATGAGCAGGAGGCTGTGCCCGACGCGCAAGCCGCACAGCCCGGCTTCCCCTGCGAGTGCTGCACTCGCCCTCACGTGACCGCTGGGCCGGGCGCTCTCGGGGTCACGTGGGCTTCTAAACTGTTTAAAGGTACCCAGTACCTTTGAGCTGAGACTTCCGCTCCCTGCTTAGCCTAAGGTTTCTGCCGTGTATTTCCTGCTCTTTGGGGACAGACTCTTCCTCAAAGTCTTCTTCCTCAAAGGAGAAAAACACTGGAAAAGCAGAAGGAGCAGGTGCACAGATCTTCCCCGGAGTACTGCCTGCCTAGACTCTGCACACGGGTCTATGGCAACCGTCGGCACAAGAACGACTGACCGACTTTTATACAGAGAAACTTTGTTTCGAAAAGACAAAAAAAAAAAAAAAGATTTGTCAAAGCCAGCTGGATCTTGTGGCAACAAGTCTTTGTAGTACCAGCACTTATCCTTTGGATCGCTGTGAGTTCAAGGCCACACTTGCATAGCTCAGTGGAGCTACTTAGTTAGGGCCTGTCGTAAAAAGAAATAAAGTAGCAGATCTAGGTTAAAAACAAAAAGAAATAAAGTAGCAGATCTAGGCTAAAAACAAATGAAGAGATATGACAGATTTTGGGCTTTAAAAAAAAAAGAAAGGAAGAAAATTCAACTTTAAAGGGCCTTACAGGAATGCGTGTGTGTGTGTGTGTGTGTGTGTGTGTGTGTGTGTGTGTGGTGTGTGTCTGTGAAGAAAAAAATGACATGATGTTTTAATTAATTTTTTTCATTTGTTTTACAACCACACCCGCAGTTTCTCCTCCCTCTTCCCTTCTGTTCTCTACCCCGGATTTTTTCGCTTAATCTAAATAGAATATGTATGGCCAGTCGGGAAGTAAGCAAAGGGAAAAGAAAAGGGTCTGTAGGCTAGGTTAGACTGGAAGTCTGATACCGTAGAATAAAAAGCCTGGCGACCTGACCTCCAAATCCCTCAGACTTGTGGAAACATAATGCTGCACAGCATTTGTTCAACAGCGCAAATTAAATTCTCCAATTTTTAACTAGAATTTTCCACTTTTTTTTCCTGAATTCACTTGGCATTTTTTCTTTTTTAATTTAAATTGTTTTCATATTGCATACCAACCCCAGTTCTCCCTCCCTCCCCTTCTCCCGCTCCCCACCTCCCCCATCCCATCCACTCCTCAGAGGGGTGAGGCTTCCCTTGGGGAGTAAAGAAGGCTGGCATACCATCACTTAGCATTTTTTAAAATAATACACAAAGGCCACAAGTTACAATTTAAAGAAAGGAGAAACTAATACTAACAACACTGTCTCTCTTTTTTAGGGACAGTGTTTCTTTTTTGAAACAGAATGTTTCTATGTAGCAGTGATAGCTAACTTGGTTTGTCAACTTGACCACACCTCACATCAACCCAAGCAGCTGGCAAACTTGTAAGGAATTTTTCTTCCTTGGATCATTTGAAGTGGGGGCACCCGGTTCAAATCTGGTCAGTCCATATAAAGGAAAAAGAAACCTGTTGCTTTTTTGCCTGCTTGCCTTCTTGCTGATTAGACCATCTATCCTGCTGCTGAGGCATTAGAACACACTTATTCAGGATTTCCACAAAGCCTGAAAACCAGCTGACATGCCCAGCTTTATGTACTCTCAATTACCAGATTCTTGGTTCAGGAGACTAGCCTGGAAGTCACTTTAATATATAGCATATATTAATATATGCTATATATTAAGAGCACACACACACATTCATTCATTCATTCATTCTGTCAGTTCGGTTCCTTTAGAGAATCCCGAATAATACAGTCAGCCATGTTGGCTTTGAACTCAAGGTGAGCCTCTTGCATCAATCTCCCAGGTACTAGGTATACAGTCGTGAGCCACAGGTCTAGCAACTCCCAATTCTTAAAATGCTCTTTTGCCTGTAAATTAATCCTGTCACTGAACCTGTGAGTCACAGACTGTTCTGAAACCGGATCTGACCACCTGCTCTCAATAAACAAACTAAAAGGACAAATTAAAAGTGGAAAACAGAGAAAATAAATTTATTTGATTTATTGGGAAGAGGGACAAAGAGATTCAGTGAATCCCCAAAGATCTCTAGAGTCCTGAACTGAGATTAAAATTTAAATAGTGAGCCAAAGATATGCAAATCTAAGCAGTCCCAGTCAAGACATGGCCTCACCCACCATTGTCTGAGCTTCACTCTTAACCAGTAAGGCAGGCTGGCAAGTGGCTAAAACTATAAAATTTTTTTCCAAGAGGTAATACACCCACCTCCCCCACCACTAAACACTCCTACTCCCGGTCTGGTGTCTTTTCCTGATCCTAGCACGAGATTCCCATTTCTTTAAGGTCCATTGTTTCAATAATTTGAAACTTAGATTGAGAGACAGTGTCTCCTTTCTGCCTGGCCTATTCCTCTCCCTTGAAACACTACTTCCCTTCCTAAGGTCACCAAAATAAATAAATAAATCTGCAAGATATGTCCCTAACTGCTGCCTTAGGTGTCTCCAATGTGGCTAGGACCTGAGGAGACACAAGAAGCTATGCGTTTCTATTTTCCTTCCCTCCCTTACTGTCCAATCCCATCCACTGATATCCACCAGGTAATGGTAATAATGGTCCAAATTGCTCTATAATTGCCCCAGAAGTTCCCTGTCTTTTTTCCTGGCCCCTCTGACAAAGTACCATCCTCATCCAAGGTTCCAAACCTTTCCCTGAGTGCTTCCTCATGAACAATAGAGACAACCTTTTTTTTTTAATTTATTTATTTATTAAAGATTTCTGTCTCTTCCCTGCCACTGCCTCCCATTTCCCTCCTTCTCCCCCAATTGAGTCCCCCCTCCCCTCAGCCCGAAAAGCAATCAGGGTTCCCTGTCTTGTGGGAAGTCCAATGAACTCCCACCTCCATCCAGGTCTAGTAAGTTGAGCATCCAAACTGCCTAGGCTCCCACAAAGCCAGTGCGTGCAGTAGGATCAGAAACACAATGCCATTGTTCTTGAGTTCTCAGTAGTCCTCATTGTCCGCTATGTTCAGAGAGTCCGGTTTTATCCCAGGCTTTTCCAGACCCAGGCCAGCTGGCCTTGGTGAGTTCCCAGTAGAACATCCCCATTGTCTCAGTGTGTGGGTGCACCCCTCGCCGTCCTGAGTTTCTTGCTCGTGCTCTCTCTCCTTCTGCTCCTGATTTGGACCTTGAGATTTCAGTCCTGTGCTCCAATGTGGGTCTCTGTCTCTGTCTCCTTTCATCGCTTGCTGAAGGTTAATATTCAGGAAGATGCCTATAGGCTTTTCTTTGGGTTCTCCTTATTTAGCTTCTCTGGGATCACTAATTATAGGCTCAATGTCCTTGGTTTATGGCTAGAAACCAAATATGAGTGAGTACATCCCATGCTCCTCTTTTTGGGTCTGGGACACCTCACTCAGGATAGTGTTTTCTATTTCCATCCATTTGCATGCAAAATTCAAGAAGCCCTTGTTTTTTACTGCTGAGTAATACTCTAATATGTATATATTCCATACTTTCTTCATCCATTCTTACATTGAAGGGCATCTAGGTTGTTTCCAGGTTCTGGCTATCACAAACAATGCTGCTATGAACATCGTAGAGCATATACTTTTGGAGACAACCTTTTTAAAAGGGAGAAGAGGGAAAGATTTGTTTTTGGAAGGCTGGAAACCAGGAAATTGTTTTCTATTGTGAACATTTCTTCATGAACTGTATTCCAAATACCTGTGTGGAGAGTTGGCATCCTTAGCCAGTCTCTCCAAGCCTTGCATCCTCCTTATAAAATTACATTCTGAAGGTCAAAGTTTAAAAAAACAAACCCACATCAACATTTCATTAACATCTAGAATAGTGGTTCCCCATCTTCCTAATCTTTGACTCTTTAATCCAGTTCCTCAGGTTGTGGTGACCCCAACCATTAAGTTATTTGTTGCTACTTTATAACTGTAATTTTGTTACTATTATGAATTTTAGTATCTGAATGCAGGATATTTTATATTCTGCCACTGTAGGGTCGCAACCCACAAGTTGAAAACCATAGATCTAGAGCAATTTTCCTTATTTTCATGTGTTACACAATTCTCAACAATTTCAACATGTTGGGACAATGTAGTGTTGGTTGTTAGCAATCCCTAAGCCGGGTATTTTAGCCAAAGGGGAGATTCCTATAGAATTCTCAACAACTCTTTAATATCTTCTGACATTACTAAGGCTTTTGTTTGATTCTATTTTGGCTTTGATTTATTGTTGTGTTGAGCATTTTATGTAGTTCAGGTTAGTATAAAACTCTAAATCGTGTAGGCTAATCTTGAACTCCTGATCCTCTTGCCTTTGCTTCCCAAATGCTGGGATTACAAGTGTGGCCCACCACAACTGGTTTGTTTTTTTATTCAGTTGCTTCCAAATGCTAATATGCTGTGGAATGTCCAACATTGTTATGCTAGCATAGGCCTCTTTATTCTTTAGTTCATTAACTATCTATTTAGTTAATATCTATTTAGTATATTTATTTTATACTAAAAAAAATAAACAACTAGCTTCAGGGAAGACACTGTGGGACTGATTCCTGATTGACAGACTAACAGCTCACTTTCAATACTTCTTCAAGGAAACCACATGTGAATTGGGTCTAAGTTTGTTAATACAATTCCTTTGGCTTATTTGAGACAGAGTCTACTCTAGTTTAGGTGACCTTAAACTTGCTATGTAGCTAATAACATTCTTGAAAGTCTGTGCCTACCTCTCAAATTACTGCAGCTACAAGTATGTTCTGCCACTTCCAGCTCAATGTATAGAAATGCCTTGTTTCAAAATTTGCTACTAATAAGATTCCAGAATCAAGCAACCTGCCTACTCATACCACTCCCTACAAAGTGGCATGATGTTGACTGAGTACTGACAACTTTCTCTTACATAGTCAAACTTGGAGATGAGGTTATGGTTGCAAGTCACTCGGGTACCCACTAGACAAGTGAACTTGACTCTGGAAACTTACATGGTATAAAAA